TTGTATAACATGAATTAATTAGTTCTATTCTAATCGTTCTCATTTTCACGAATACCTGTGGAGAAAATTGATATCAAGTAGACAAAAGTATCAAAATAATTAGATTATAAAATCACAAAGTGATTTGACAAAGTGACAAACAATTTGAAACAATGAATTATTATTTAATTAATTTATCATCATTATTTTGGAAATAACATAGAAAGAATAATTTTAGTTATTATTATATATTATACATATTATTTATATATATATATAATAAAAAATAAAATAAAAAATTATTTCACTTGACAGCTGAATAATGAAATAAAGGTTTCAAAAGAAACATCAGAATTTTATATTCAAATAAACTAATGCATAATTATTTCAAATAATATTTAGCTAAATGAAATAATATATCTTTTAATATATTTTTTTAAATATATTATTTGAATAATATCCAAGCTTGATTTCCATTAAATTGTTTTATCAACTACATTTGTTTACAAAAAATTCGTTAAGTAACCGTTAAATAATAAAATGACAAATTTGCTAATTGTAAAATAATTTCGATGTTAATCTATTGCAACGATGTTCATTTCAATGTAAAAGATAATTTTCAATTAAAAATTTTTGTTCATGCAACCAAAAATGTTATATTGTAAATTATATATCTATTGAATTTATTGCGACATGAATTTTTCTTCAGTCAACAAAGTGAAAATATATGATACAACGTAAGTAAATATTATATTCATAGCGTTTATTTTTTGAAATATGGAATAAACAGATTTATTCTTTGTAATCGAAATGTAACCAATATTGACACGACTTTTTTCATTGTTATAAATATGAATCTTGCAAATGTACTCAGTTTACAAAATTATTTTATTTTATTTTATTTTAAAAAAATCTTATTTCATTAACATCATTCTCTTTAAACATATAATCACAAATATATTTATTTGTATATTTATTTTATACATGTACAAAATTTCGCACATAATATTAAAGATGTATTCAATAATTTGATTTAAATATATTTTCAATAATTTAATTACCTCTATACATACTTTATTTTACAACTTTCATATATCTCGCAAAACTATATACATGTGTATCGTTCTTAGATTCCAGACAAAAAGATTACATGGTAATCTTTTGTCTTGGATTTATTACAAGGTAATTTATTACAAGGTAATAAAAAAAAGACAAGGTGATTTTCAAGTGTTTTTGAACAAAGAAAAAAGATATAAATATAGATGATTAATGTTTTACTAAAAAGTTGTGTAACGAATCGTTTTACAGTGTAAAATTAAACTGAATTACAAATAAAATTGTATTTTATTAATGTATTTATAAAACATGCTGGCATTTTAGTGAATTAGTGAAAATTATGAATCCTGTACATAATTTTTTTTCCTGTATATAACTTTTCCTTATAATAATAATTCTATTTTTATCGTATATTTCTTATCTTTCAGTTACATAACATTTTCTGTCTTTATTTTGTTCTACTCTTTTATACGTCTTCTTTTCCTCACTGTGCAACTTATTTATTTAAACGTTGATTCCTCACCATTCCTCCGATAACATTGAAAATCAATTACTGCTGTGATTATGTCAACATCGTGGAGAAATGTGAAAATATTGCATGCAATAAAAAAAAGGGAGCACTGAAAATTATATCACTAATTAATCATAATTTCCAAGCGAAAATTTAAGAATCATCGCGGCAAGCTATTTTGTATTCAATACACCGCATCCGTGACTCGTTCGCGGAATAACTTCTTCTTTGAGATTAATACCCGGACTTCGGGGAGCTGAATTCACGGTTTGTAAATTATACCGCTTTGAATGTCAGCCCACGCAAGCAACGGCCGCAGACCCAACGACACGAAACCCATCGATGCAGAGGAATCCTCGTGAATTTCGTTCCCCTAACGAAGCGCTGGGATTTTTTTTTTTTTAAATTGGTGATTAAACATGCTCGGCGGTCTCTCGTTATTCCGCTACGGCGAAGGCTCACGCATTTTTTTTTTATCTTCTTTTTTTTTTTCCTCTGTCACCTGTCAAAATTCGTTTCGAAATAACCGAGTCATTGAAAATTTGTGAGATCCAATCGCTGCCTTCGGATATCTTTAATAAAGATCTGTTCATAACTTGTTGATATTTTATTACGTCGATGAAACATAGATTACCTGGAGGTAATCTTAATTTTAAGTATACTTTTTTTTTATTTTTTGACATTCTTCGTCATGACCGGACTATACTTTTCTGTGTCAATACATTTGAAGGCAGGTCGGAATTACAATTCTCGTGTTTAAAAAAGCGTGTTTTAAAAACTTTTTTCTATCATTAAACTTATGATGGCATGATGATACTAAAGACGTAATACTGTATTTTAGATTGTACAATAATGACACATAAAAAATATGAAAAATTTCTTGTGAAATTGAAAACTCATTTGGAATCGATTTCATATGTATTAAAAGTCATAGTTCTTATTAAAACTAATAAAAGCATTATAAAAGAATTTAAAAATATTATTTTTAATTATAAAATTATTTAATTGTAGAATTATAAAAGAATTTAAAAATAATAAAAGAATTATATTCTTCTTTAAAATTTTGGAAATTAAATGATCTGTTCTCTTTTATTAAAAAACAAAAATATTAAAAAAACCAAATCTATAATTAATCATAGATTACTAAATTAAAATTCATATTAGTTAATTACATTAAATTGAAAAAATATTAGTTAATTTAATTAAATTGATGTCACTGAGACTTCCAATAGGCAATTGATATTGTTGTTGTCATGATGTTTTTTTGACAATGATAATATTCCATATTATAATGATAAATTACAATAATAGATTATTACAAGAAAACTAAAATGAAATATCAAAAAAAAATTTTTGTAAACAGGACAATATTAATTATTCGACTATTTAGAAATGAAAAATATCTATCTATTATTAGATTAAAAGTTTCATATTAGATTCATTTACATAAAAATAAGAATTTAAGAAAAGCAGTTTATAGAGAAATAAATTCGTTGAAAAAAAATTTTGAGGAATTGGAAGAGAAGGAAAGATGCTTTCATAATTATCTATTATTATTTGAAATTTCATTGATTTTAAATTGATTCAAGAGAGTTTGATAGGCATCAAGTTAATATCCATCTTTAACAGTAGGATGAACCTAATATCTTCTATTGATTTTTTCCACAATATAAATACCAGAACATAATGTAAAACATATTCGTGTTCTTCTTATTATAGCCATTAATGAATAAAATATTTCATTTATTATTATATTTATTTTAATAAATTTTAAGTTTAATATTTTTATTTATTTTAATAAATAGTAAATAAAATATTTTCGAATTGTGTGGACGCTGCTTACGACAAAATTACCGAATCGGCCAGAAAACCGCATCGTGTGAACTGGTTGTTAGTCTTTTAATAAATCGACCGTATACTGTATTCGTTTTTCTCTGTATTTATTTTCACTTTCGTTTATTCATTTGCATACCTCTTTCTCTTTCCTCTCCACGCTTTTTTTTTTTTTAATATTCCGCATCGTCCAGCGAAATTACGCAAATATTTGCTAAATGTAAGATTAAAATTTAAGAGTCAACCGAAAGGTTATACACGTACTTAAACATATAATACTTTTCTGATGCAATAGTTCGAGTATTATCTTGTCTTCTGAGGGAATAACTAACATGTATAGAGTGATTAAACGTATTTACACTTGCGTCATGGTTTCTTCACTTTGTTTAATAACGTTGTTTGGCCCGAGGCAATAAATGAAACGAATAATAAAACTGAATTTAAAAACAATAATGAAAACTATTTCTCATTTTTATACTATATTTATACTATACTTCAGTAGTTAGATCTATTCGCTTCTTTTCTTATCACGTTGTTTGTCCTGTTGAATGAAAGATAATCGTCGAATAAATCGATTCAATGCCTATTTTACAATGTAAACGTAAATGTAAATATTTTACGCATTTTTTATGGACAAGAATGTTTTCATAAAGATAAAATGAAAATGTTTCTATTTAAAAACGAAAATAAAACTGGTATTTTAGTTTTAACAGAACAAAAAATATAATGTGTCAATCTATGTGAGAAACAATCTATAAATACTGAAATAAATAAATAAAATTAAAACGAAAAGAAAAAAGAAACGATCTATGATCATTTTCATCGAAAACAGAATTTTCAATATTGCGAACAGGTTGGATCTCTTCCTTATTTTAGGAAACTCCTTGAAAAGAATCCTTTGGAAAGGAAAGAAACGAAGGTATTGATCATCATTAAAATGTCAACGGTGAATACGGAGATTCCCCAAGAGCCGAGTATATTTCTCTCATAGAAATTGCTTGAACGAAGTCGTTTAATTCTTCGAAAAAAAGAAGGTAATGTGACAGACCAGGATTAAAATCGATTCTCTTTGAGCGCTCGTTACCTTCATTGACTCGCTTGTTCGATCTCGCTGATACACTGCGACTTTCTCCCTCTTCTTTCCTCTCTTGCGCGTCCTTTCGTATTCTGATACACAATCTTGAGTTATTTTGTCTTCTCTCTCTTTCTCCTTCGCCAACTTCCACCTTATTATACGTTCGTACACTGCCGTTCAAAAACTACCTGCATGAACACTTGCCATTTTTATGGAATCTATGTGCATATTGTTATTGTATAATGTACAATATATGTGGAAGAGATCACAGATTTTATATACATATATACTCGAATAATATTAAGTTGAACAATTTATTACTCAAAAAGTTTAAAATGCCAATTGTTAAAAGTTTAAACATAAAGGTAGTTTTGTAAGATTTCTTGAAAATAAATGATATTTTAAGAAAAAAAAAAAAAAAA